AAAAGACAAAAATTAAGTTTATATTTTTTCTAAAAGATGGCTGCTGATTTCATTTTGAATTTTAAAAATGGAATCTATATATATAAAAATGAAACCCGTTTCGCGTTGTCACGGCATCACGTGTGAACGGCTGAACCGATTTCGATAATTCTTTTTTTTAAATGTTTGTGGAAGTCCAAGGATGGTTCTTACGGAAAAAAATATTAAGAAAATCTCTACGCTAAGGCGGTACGAAGTTCGCCGGGTCAGCTAGTAACTTATAATTTTCTCGTCTTCGAAATTATATTTTTTACTGAACAAATGGCTACATTAGTCTATAATCCATGTTGACAGTGTTTTAAAATTTCAAATATCGAAAATAGAATGTCATTTTATTTTTTAATTCACTGCGGTGCACTCGGCGTGTTTGGCGATGGGGAACTAGAGACAGGTGGTTGAACCATGGCTAGATGCGGCGGCATGGCCATGGGGGGTAGCGGACGCCCGCCCCCCATTAAGGGGTGGGGGTGAAAGTACTGCTGGAGCGCCGGGTGGGGGTACAAGTGGTGGGGGTGTCGGGAAAATTGCGCCATTTTAAGTTTTTCGATCTCCGCCTCTTGTACTCGCTTCGCTTTCGCCCGCCGGTTTTGGAACCAGATTTTTACCTGTTGGCAAAAGAGATTTGATGTTAGTTTGTTTTGCAATGATTAGAATAAGTTTAGACCCTTCCTGACTAAATTGCAAAAGAGTCTAGGGGTTAACATTACTGCACCTAGATACAATTATTAATTACAGATAATATGTATATTTTTAAGTGATTTAAAACTTATTCTAGGTAAAATTTAGATATTTATGTAAGTATAACGCGGCAGCGTGAGCAGTACTTTGTACGATTATGAGTCCTTGGTCGTATCAGACAATATGGGATATACTCGATGCTAAATGAATTGGTGTGTAAGCAAAATTAGTACTAGTTTTATAACAGGTATTATTATTAGTTAGATCTCTAAACTGAGCAATTAATTTGTATGTTTATTTATTCACATGCGATCGTTAAAAATTTCGCTATAATGGACATGGCGCACAATTTTTGTTGAAGATGCCAAAAAAAACTACAAAAAATTAGAATGAATACTGTATTTTTACTTTTTTGATATCTTTAAAAATGACTGAAATATTCAAGCTCAAAGTGCGCTCTTCCGCTANCATTTAGGTCTGGTCGCCATCGCTGCACGCTGGCTGATCGCGGTGTGATCGCGTTGGTTTGTCCGAACCCTTAGGTCTGGTCGCCATCGCTGCACGCCGGCTGATCGCGCTGTGATCGCGTTGGTTTGTCCGAACCCTTATACTGAAAGGGCAACGAGTAAAAAAGAAAATGTAAAAGTGCAAAGCACTTATGAACATTTTAAATATGTTTCGAAGAAAAGTTAAATTAAATTAGGAATTCAAATGAAGTCACACTAAATACTTTAGCTTTAGCTGGAATTTACTAACTTTAACCTCATCAAAGCTCTGATCTTCTAAGGTATCTAAATCTTCAATTCTCTGTATGTTGAATAAGTCAGACTTACTCAACTTTGTTTACATTATAAAAGAAAATCTTTTCTAATAAATAAATAATCTATTGTTTTCTGTAGGCTAAAACGGTACAATTAAGATGTCCTTACCTTTAAAAGCTATCTTTTCTAGACAATGCGAAGAAAAGACAATTTTCTACTTTACCTACTTATTTCAAACTAGCTTTCCGCCCGCGGCTTCGCCCGCGTGGAATTTTGTCTGTCACAGAAAAACTTTATCGCGCGCGTCCCTGTTTCAAAAACCGGGATAAAAACTATCCTATGTTCTTTCCCGGGACTCAAACTATCTCTTTGCCAAATTTCATCAAAATCGGTTGCGAGGTTTAAGCGGGAAAGCGTAACAGACAGACAGACAGACAGAGTTACTTTCGCATTTATAATATTAGTTGAGATTGTTGATCGTCGATCTCCACTTTACAGTTAGTTCCAAACTGTAGAGATTATAATGTAAAGTTCTTAGAAATAGGTATTAAGATTAGGAAGGGAAAACACTGTTACCAATGAACTCTTAAAATAAAAACAAAAAATATTTATAAAAAACAACTGCTGTAGCCGAAAACTTGGTTATTCTACTCTACTGGGTTAGACATAGAAACATGATAATTATGTTCTCAACTAAAATAAATGATGATACAAAATTCAGGAGGTTTATGACAAGCTAACTTTACTTCCAGAAGCGATGCTTCATTTTCTGATGCCTTTTTATGGCATGCACGAGAACGTAATAAAGTTGATTGTTTTTCAATTGCATTAAAACTGAAAAGCTTGCGTTATGCATGAAATGGTCATAAATTTTATGCGGCTTCCACGAAAATAAAATGCTTTTATTGTTTCGTAAAAGATCAAATTTATGTATGTGTGAACAGCATTCAGCGTTTTTACATTTTTAATGTCTGCTTATGTAAGTCGGTTCTAGGTACACAACCACAATTTTACTGTGATAAGAAAGTTCATGTTTGGACAAGGCTGAACCCTATTCATTGTCTGACTCTAACATAATAGTTTATAATTTAGTAATATTGTATTAAAATTTGAGACCAGTTTGAGTAAGTACCTTAGCGCTGGATACATGCCTATGCCATGGGGAAGGCCTATGTTCAGCAGTGTACATTCTTTGGCTGAAATGATGATGATGATAAAGTACCTAATACACTTTCGTTGATAGGCCAAAAATCGCGAGGGCGAAGTCGCGTTTAGTAGCGAGAAAAAGCATGCAAGGTGATTTACCAGCGATTTTTTCACATACTCTGCCAGTATTAATGCAACTATCATGTAGGCAATTTATGTTAATTCGGAACATATTCCACAATTCCCACCGCGTTAACCTCACCTATTACAATAACTGTACTATCGTAGATCGGACTAGTTCAATGGATGGGATTACCTGCCGTCAGCTCGTTCCGGTAACCAGAACATAACTACCTGGGTATCGACTGCACTGGCTGTGGTTTGTGTCATTAGGGTTGGTTACGATCTGTTAAATACTAAAGGATTTGCTGTGTGTACGTACACCTAGCCTAATCTTTGAATTTTAGGGAGAGGATTATGCAAAGAAAGCTAAACTGTATCAATCTCAAGCTGTATATGGATCAATTCTTGAGTGTAACCCATTAGAGTATTGAATCATTAAACGTAACTAAGGCCTTATATACTTTGTACGACGATAATATAATATGTTCGTTATTTTAACGTAAAATGAAATTACCTACATACTTTTTCGAGACGAGCTATTGAAATAAATCCAATCAGCGCAAGATAGGTAAATGAAGTTGTTAGCTATTTACCTATCAGACAAAAAGTGATTTCTTTTCATAGCTAGCTACCGTGTGAACTAAAAAGCAGTCTCTAATGCCAAACAGTATTTAAAATAAAAGTAGCATAAAATCTGTAAGAAACGGTAACCATAAATGTATATTTATTTTATTTTTATTTTTTTATTTTATTTTGTTTGGAAAACATACAGTGAAACAATAACAGATTATTAACCACTGCTTAAGAAACTATACACCATTTACATGTTTTCGCATATGTGTAGCAATACAATTAAACAACAAAAGCCAATTCGCTTACATGAGAGAGTTATTTTTAAATTAAGATCTATACCTACAATAAACAGCTGATGCTAATAAACTGCATTAGTTATCCACCGTAAACCGTATTATCTAATCCAATAACAAATCGCGTACAGCATTCAAATCAGCATTCACTATCCAGAGTTGGACTGGAAGTTTATGCTCGTACGTCTAAGTAGTTAGCATGCAAAGCATATCATATTAACATGGATTAAAGTTAATTCTGGAGCTCATTTGAAACGGTCCGACTTCTCTCTGGCTTAGTCTTAAGGATATTACTGAAAATTACTTGAAACACTGCATTGCAGCTTCTCTGGAACTATGCTGGTGCAATTAGTGATAGTTCGCTTCTGCGTTTGGATCTGGATAGTTAAGAAGTTTTAAATTAGTGAAATTTAGGTAAGTCATCGGTTTTATTCAGTCATTTTATCTCATTTGCCTCAATTAATACTGTGAAAATACCGTACCTAAATCACGGTAATACCTATCCATTATTTTATTAATCAATCTATCATGTCAATTTCCCTCTAGACCCAGCACAAATGTTGACAAATTACTTTAGTACTTTAATAAGCTTAGAGCCCTGGATTTATGTAGTCTGCGGCTAAAATTATTTTTAGATTACCAGGGAATATTTTCAATAGGTAGGTATATTCTTGGATGCGATACTCCGCAAAACGTTTAGCCGTTTAAAAATTCACAGCTACCATTATTTCCCTGCTGAGAGGTCTCGTTGCGGTATAATATTAATTATTAAAGTTCACAGTCTCCGGTTTCCTTGATTTTAAAAAGAGATGCTAACTACTTAAAAACAAAGCTCAACTTCCTTTACGTTCCCATAGCCTATCTTGTCGTCATCAAAAATGTAACTTTCTTCGGCTTACGTTTTAATCTCTGTGGAATACCAAATTAACAGGAGCGAAACGTAAACATTTCCTTACGGCAAAATAGATCTTGGAAAATAATGAAACGTGGCTTCGGATTACTGCAGTGCGCGTAATGTATGAAAATGACTACTAAATTTTCGGGAAAGTAAATAAACAGACATACTCACCTTGCCAATTTGGTCGTTGAATAATTCATGTTGTCTCACATAGGCCCACCTGAGAGAGCGGGGGAGTGCGAGCACTCTTCAAATACGAGCCTCACCGTCGAGGGGTAGCATAACGAAATGGGCAAGCGAGACTACAGCTTCATTTAAGGGTATAAAGAAAAAACAAACTTATTACACGACCCTTTAAATTCACATTAAAACTCCGCGCTCATTCAAAATGTTAACTCATTACTGCTAACGAATCGAACGCTTTTCACGGAAGAACTTTTTCACAAATTGACAATTAAGTGACAAATTAAATGCCACTGTCATATTGACTAATGCATCGAATAATAAATAAAATATTTGATCCAAATTAAAGGAAATGGCAACAGTGAACAAACTTCTTCCGACTGCACACGAGTTCTATGCAGAGTTACAGGATAGGACTGACTTTGCTGAGGCGCAGCGTCATAAGAGATTCTTGGCGGTTTTGCTGCTGCAGCGGATGGCTCGTGGCCACTTGATAAGGAAGCACGTGGCTTGGCTGTCGAAGAACGCTACGACGATACAGTGTGCGTTCAGGGTGCATAGAGCTAGGAAGGCGTACCGCGCAGCGTTGAGGCGAGCGGTTCGGAATAAGCACGCTCGACATTACGCTCGGGCTGCTAGAATAATACAGGTAAAGTGTATTTCTTTTGTGCAATACGTTATACGTCTGACGAAGTAGCTATTGAGTAGTACTTATTCGCAGTTTTTACTTTTTGGCTAATTATCAAATTAACAAAAGTAAATTACAACATTGTGACAAATTGGACTCGGACTCTCCTATAAAACGGATTTAAAAATAATAAATTAAAACTCTTGTAAACGTTGTAATACCTGTATTTTATGAAAAATAAAATAAAGTTAAAATTACTTTTCTTTATTAAAAACATTAATGTGATTATCATTATCTTAGTACATAATGTTATCCCGTACATAAAAATAATGCTAGCAATACTTGTTTAGGCACTATGGCGTGGGCATTATTCGAGAAGAACGAAATTCTGTTACCGCTCCTACCGAAAGTGGCTGGCAACTGTCACCGAACGAGGAGAAAGAAGAGCGGCAGAAGCTGCAGAATTCGGCATCAGGAGCCGAGCAGATGACCTCCGAATCCTAGAAGAGGAAGCCAGGCATTGGCTGGCATTCGTTGTCTTCAAATTACACCACTTATTGAGAACCTACGTCTGTGCCGGCGTATACTCGGAACCAGCTTCCACAGAGCTATCCGAATTCGAAAAGCTTCTAAAATCCATCCATTACACCGAGTACATGAAGCGCTTGAAAAGAAAATACGACGAGTTTGTCAGGAAACATCGCCCGCGGTTCTCCAACAAGAGACTTTTCCCAATAATTGGTGATGGAGCGGATTACTGGTACATGTCGTTAGCTGAGATGTATGAGCTGACTACTCCAGTGCAGAAAAAGATGGATACGAGGCACAAAGCAACGCACCATGGGCAGATACATAAAGAACCGTTTCTATGGAAAATGGTTAGGCCTCCGTGCCCTAGCGAAGGTAGAGGGCCGTTCACACCCCCAAGGTCACCAGTGTCCAGGACTCCACCTACCCCTGCCCCCACTCCGACGGCTGGGGGAGATGCTTTGCACACTGATCCTCGATTCCACCTCTACGTCAAACATTACACGCCGCAACCAGCGCTTTTCGATTATGTTGATTTTCACATAAATGTCCTTCTCAGAAGGAAGTGCTCGGTTGAAAATATAGACAAGGAATAATTTTATCAGATTTTATTTTCAATATTTGAAATAGCGGTGATTTGTTTGAAAACATACAACAACTTGGTCCCAACATTGACGTGTATTATTTCTCCTTTTATTTTTCTTGCTCGGAAATCCGTAATCAGGCTGCTAAGTTTGGAAGGGTCGTCCGGATGTTGCGAGCCGCGAGCCTTTTGTTGTTGTGAATTTTACACTTGTAATTTATTTCAGGAAACGCCTTGGTGAGAAAGAAATTACGTTAAACTCTCCAAGGAAAATGTGTTTTGTAAATTAACATTTCGCCTCTGTGGGTTTAAAGGTCGGCGTGTTTTTATTTATTGTCCAAAATTATAAGTGGATCGCCCTTAATATTTATTACTCTTAATGGTTATCCAGTTCACATTGTGTCAGGATATTCCAGTTGATTTGAATATTATTTAACTCGAGGGCTTTGGAACAAGAGATGCGGGAATTAAAATTAATACACTGCTTCTTCTGTTTTAACGGCGTGTTATATAAGCGGAATGTGCGCGTTAATTTAAGCAGATAATATGTCTAATATTCCAACGTAAGTCTTCCAACTCATTTGTCTGACAATACCCGTTTGACTCGGCAAATTTATTAGGGTCAGAATAATGCAGGTTGCGGGTACCAGAACTCCTTATTGCAGCCCGTCTTAGCTGGGTACCCATTTGTTAGACGTATAATGGTTGACCCACTTTACTTATGTGCTACCAAGCTGCTTGAATGGGGTGTGATTTTCGCATCGCAAAGCCACAGAGAGACAATTACTCGTATGTGAACCCGCCGTGTTCTTGACAATAACCTTATTGAACCGATCTAAATGTAACATAATTTGAAACGGCCTTTGTTGTATTAAGGTTGTATAATGATTCGATAATCAAACTGTTTGATATTGATTTTGTTTGGTACCTATTTGTATAGTTATAATTTGATTGTGTAGACGTGTCCCTTTGTTTGAGGCAAATTAGTAGATTGTACATATTATTATACTATGGCTTTCTGTTTACATGATCGGAGTATAATGACTTGATTGAATGTTCAAATAGGTCATATTATTGTGTTTCTGGGAACTATGTACATATTACAAGAAGCATTCCATTTATTATATCTTGAAGTGTTTTTATTGACTCTTTATTTCATCTGAAATGCAAATTCATTTCGTACTGAACTTTATTCTTCATTTGAAATTTGTACCAGTAAAATATGTTTAACGTGAAATCTGATACTCTTTAGAAAACCTTAAAAATCATTTGATAACATCCGTGCCAACTATTGAAAACCGTTCAAGGAAAACCTCGGAAAAGCGGTCGGAAAGTGCCCTTCTCACCTTATCTTATCTGGTCCCTAAATCAAGTTCAATACCTGTCATTCCGACGTATTTATAGTGAGTTTACCTTTATTTTGCCTTCGGTTTGAGAAGTTCTCGCGAGCTGTCAGCCCGCTGCTGGGGTGTTTGGTACATGAATAATGTATGGGCTAAATTTGCAAGTGTTTCAATTTACACCCGCCGACACTCCGTACGCACAAGTAGTTGAGAAAAAAAGGAAACAACAGGGGATGGGGGGGTATTCTGGTGGCTAATGACTTGGAAGCGGGTAGAAGTTTGGGAAGAAATTAAAGACATTCTGAATATCTATGTACTACAAGGTTTTTTTTGCCTTAATGTGGGAATAAAAATGTTATCGTTATTGTTGCTTTTGAACATGTGACGAAATCAATATTTTAAAATAATTAAACCATGGAATTGATGGAATCAAATCATGTTATTTTTTGTAATCGGGAAAGGAAAGCTGGAATTTAATTAGCTACATTTTATACATCGCGTTTAATAAATTCACTTTATGTACATTGTATTATTTGACGATGTAGATAATTCGTACCCTACCACACAATGTAAGCCCCGTATAAACCCTGACACCCTAGGTACATTATCATAATGGAATTATGATAATGTTATTTTGCTACTCGATATTAGTCTCTAGAAGCTTCAAGTATCTCAAATTTCATTCATGTACACCGTACATACACTTTACAAGAATACGGTGTTAGGGTTGTGACCGGAGATGCAATGTAATGTCAATGCAATATAAAAGTTTACATAAAATTCTCAATATTGTACGTTTAGATTTCAGTGTTTCCAAAATGAACTTTCAAAAAATATTTTTCATTAATTTTTCTTTAATAAACTCGAATTTTAAGAGTAGGCGCACACCGTTGATTTTTAGTTGGCCGATAGTTGTGCCCGATTTTAAATTGTATGAAGAATCGGCCAAATCGAATCGGCGTAGTGTGCGCACTCCCATACATGCCCATACTGATCAACTGCCCGACTAAACTATCGGCCGACGAAAAATCAACGGTGTGCGCCTACTCTAAGTCACAATCTAAGTTGACATGCAGTACAAACCACGTTTTATCACAATCTAAACTTTGTGTCTTACATGAGCAGGATTTTCGCTCAATGAGGGTTTTCGCGATTGAAAAATCCGCCAGATGGCAATACGTAGACGGGAGGTCCAAATGCTGCATGATTGGTTATTATTGACATAACATTGACAGATATGTCAAAATCCACCAATCACGCAGCATTTGGACCTCCCGTCTACGTATTGCCATCTGGCGGATTTTTCAATCGCGAAAACCCTCATTCTAACGTCATTCGACATTGTTATTCCACCTTAGTTCAAGATAGCCCCTCACTTCAGGTGGCTCCGATGCGCGGCTTATCACTGCAGATGCATTGTAAGTACCGCGAGGGGAGCGTTCACTTGCTTATTCCGATTGAATTTTGTGGGAGTATGGCACTTTAATGTAGTGCATTTGGGCAAAAGGTTTTTGTTGAATGTTCGATGGAAATAGGTGTGGTTTGTTTATAATAGCGTTTTCGTTTTTTCCTGAATCTGTTTTTATTTTATTAAAGTAAGTACATGTATTAGCTACTTACTTAAAATGCTTGAGAGGAAAATTTGGTTGGAGTAGTAAAAAAATAATGACTAGCAAACATAGCTGGATGCGACCAGTGGGGACGTTTATTGGGCCTAGTGACCTTCGATGCTAAGCTTCATTCAAGTCATAACTTAATTACATTTTTGTGAACCCATAAAAAATAATATTAATCGCTTCCAACCATCCCCATACAGCTATCCATCCATATCATCTCCTCCATAATTCCTTGCACGGAAACTTAGGCAATGGAAGGCATCTTGTGTTACTACGAGTATGTCTAACACAATATTTTCGTGACTTTAACAATTCAGTATTATTCAAGTCTATTAAAAGTGCAATAATCTATCTGCCATAATCTCCTAGCTATATCTTAGCTCTATTACGTCCCCGGTCACGCGCGTGCACTAATTACGACGATCCGCACTGGACCGCATTTTTCAAACAGATCACGGAACCACTCAGAAGCTGGTGTCACTTGAGGAATGGAAGGAATGCAGCCCAATACTCTTTGACCCGAGGGGTTATTTAGGTCACTGTGGTTCCTACCAAGGTTCAGTTGTGAGTTCAGCTCTCAGGTGGGACAAATTGAAAGAAAGAAAAAATGTTTATTCAGTATCAGTGTATCAGTAGGTAAATTGAGTGAAATCACTTTAGGCATTTATTTTGGTAAGTGTCGACTCTAAAAAGCGACTAAACGCACGGGCGTGAGACTACATAGAAACATTACTATGTAGTCTCCCAGTGTGCGTGGACGCACAGGGTCACGAACCAATCACAGAGCTCTATTCAACGCTGTGCGTTCGATTTGCTGCTTCACTTAAGCAAGCATCGTTTGTGAATACGGGTGTAAGGGACCAATATAAGAACATGAAATCTCCCTTACACGTTTCTAACAAGGTTCAGTTCTGAGTTTGGTTCCTAGATGGGTCACAACAAGGTGTATCACTGTCTGTATTTTATTCCGAGTATGGTAGATGTCTACTCGATAAGTAAAATTTTATAAAAAAAAATAAAACCGACTCCAAAAAACCTACACTAAAACGTAGAAAAATAATTACTAATTTCCTNTTGACTAATTATTACCTTGATGTTACCACTGAAGGTAGGCAGTACATTGAGACCATATTCTTAATGTATATTATAAAAAAGTTCATCCCCAATTTTCCACCCTTGGGGGTGAAAATTTTCTTCAAATTCGCATGAAACCACCCTTTTGATAATACCTATTCAACAAAAAAATAATCGTTCAAATTGGTTCATAATCGGCGGAGATATTGCGTATAAAAAAGTTCATCCCCAATTTTCCACCCTTGGGGGTTGTTTTTTTAATATTAAATTTAAATGGGACCACCCTTGAGGTATTACCTATACGCTGAAAAAAGATTTGTTCAAATCGGTTCATAATTGGCGGAGTTATCGCGTAACAAACATAGAAAAAAAAAAAAAAAAACATACGGGTCGAATTGAGAACCTCCTCCTTTTTTTGAAGTCGGTTGAAAAGGGGATTAAGGGATCAATCAATATGCCAATGAAGTCTCCTAACCCGTCTGACCAGTATGGGGACAACCAAATCCTCAATTTGCCTCTGGTATCTAAATTAGGGGACCGTACAGTGGGGGGGCTAATGACCTTATGATGATGAGCTTTACTTATTTCCGTTTGGTTAGGACATTGTAGGCTAATATCACCCTTTTAATAATAAAGTTCCGTTCCGTTCTGTTTTCAGCTATTTAATCAACTTTCTACTTTGTGATTTTTGTTATATCAAAACTTTCACGTTAAAAATAAACTGTTTTTGACAAAGGCAAACAAAGAATCTATTACCATTGATCACATTTAAGTTCCATTAAATAATTGAAACGTGTGTTAGTTACAAACTCCATCATCAATGGTCGGCAGTCCAAACAAATCAACGGGCTTTTATTAAAAAATACCTGTGACTCCATTCCGGTTATATTTGTTTCAGTGAATGCGTTACATTGAGTGTGAGCTAAGCGCTTGGTTTTCAATTTAGTGATTGGGGTATCGTCAAAAAAGAATTTTGATGT